ATTACGATTTTTCCGAATTTTCACCTCAGTGCCGTCAGCGCGGAATTTAGGGGAGTTGGGGCGACGTTCACCTCGACCAAGGCAGCACACTCAACCTCACTTGCGTGGTTTTTCACTTCAGCCCAACACCCTCCTGAATTCATGTCCTCTCGGATCATCGGAGGGGAAGGTGATGTCGGCGCCTGTGGCGTGAGAGAGAGAGGAGGAATGATCAGAGGGAGAGCGAGAGAGAAAGACGAGAGGGGGAAAGGCAGGGAGATGAGAGAGGAAGGGAAGGAGAAGGGGAGAGGGAGAGAGCGAGAGAGTAGGGGGAAGGCAAAGGGAGAGAGAGGAGAGAGGAGGATGCTGCCACGAGAAAGGCAGAGAGAGGAGGGGGAAGGAGGAGAGAGAGAGGAGAGGAAGGAGAGAGGTGAGCAGGGATGCAGGGGCAGAGAGGAAGAGGAGAGAGGGAGCAGGGAGAGAGATTGAGGGGGAAACAGGGAGAGAGATGAGAGAGGAAGGAGGGAGAGAGGAGAGAGAGATAGACGGAATAGCAGGGGAGGAGATGAGAGAGATGGAGAAGTAAGAGGCACAGAGAGAGGCTAGGTGAAGGAGGGAGCGGAGAGAAGAATAGAGTTAGTATAGCAGAGTAGGATGATGGAGCGAAGAGAGAGAGAGGACAAGAAGGGTCGAGACGAAGAGCAGAGAGAGGGAATCAAGCGGAGAGAGAGAGAGGGGGAACAGGGAGAGAGAGAGAGAGGGAAGGAGAAGAAGGAGAGGGAGAGAGAGAGAGAGAGAGAGGGAGGAGGGGGGGAGAGGAGGAGAGGAGAGGGAGGGAGAGGAGAGGAAGAGGAGGAGGGGAAGGAGGAGAGTGAGAGGAGGAGCAGCGGAGGATGTGAGAGAGAAGGCGGGAAGAGAGAGAGAGAGGGAAGAGAGAGGAGAGGAGAGGGAGAGAAGGAGAGGGAAGAGGGAAGGAGAGAGGGCAGAGGAGAGAGAGGAAGAGAGAGGACGAGGAAGAGAGAGGGTAAGGAGAGAGAGGAATAGGAGAGACGGATGAGGAAGCGATGAGCGAGAGGCGAGAGCGAGATGAGCGAGAGTAGGAACGAGAAAGCGAGGAGCGAGAGACGAGAGCGAGAGAGAGAGAGACGAGGAGGAGGAGGGAGGGAGGGGGGGAGGAGAGGGGGGGAGGGGAGGGGGGAGGAGGGAGGAGAGAGAGAGAGAGATGAGAGAGAGAGGGAGAGAGAGGAGAGACGAGAAGAGGAGAGGAAGAAAGAGGAGAGAGGAAGGAGGAGGAGAGAGAGAGGAGAAAGAGAATTCGGAGAGAGATGAGAAGATGAATGAGGGAGAGAGAGAGGAGAGAGAGTGAGAGGGAGGACAGAAGAGAGAGGAAGAAGCTGAGAGAGAGAGAGATGAGACGAGGAAGAGAGAGAGAGAGAGGAGAGGAGAAACGAGGGAGAGAGAGAGAGAGAAGAGAGGGAAGAGAAGAAGGAGGGAGGAGAGAATAGAGAGAGAAGGAGGAAGAGGAAGAGGGAGGAGGAGAGAGGAGAGAGAGAGAAGGGAGAGGGAGAGCGAGAGAAGATGAGGAGAGAGAGAGAGAAGGAGAGGAGGAGAAGAGGAGATCGTGAGAGAGAACCCTCGTGGGAATCGAGAGAGATTGAGAGCGAGAAGGGAGAGGAGGAGAGGAGAAGGAGGGAGGGAGAGAGAGAGGGGAAGGAGGCGAGGGAGCAGGATAACGAGAACGAGAAAGAGAAGAGAGGAAGGAGAGAGACAGAGGAAGAGAATATGAGAAGAGAGAGCGAGAGCCGAGATGATAGGAAAAGAAAAAAGAAGAAGAGCGAGGTTGGGGGAGAAGGAGAAGAGAAGAGAAGAGAGAGAGAAGAGAGAGATGAGATAAGAGAGAGCAGAGAGACGAGAGAGAGAAGAGCAGAGAGAGAGAGAGAGAGAGAGGAGAAGGAGATAGGAAGAGGAGAGCGAAGAGATAGAAAGAAAGAAGAAGAGAGAGGGAGGAGGGGGTAGGGGAAGAGAGAGAAGAGGAGAGTGAGAGAGAGACGGAAGGAGAGAGAGAGAGAAGAGAGATGCGAAGCGAGCGAGAGATAGAAAGGAAAAAGAGAGAGGAGAGGTGAGCGGCGAGAGAGAGAATGAGAGAGAGAAGGAGAGAGAGAGAGTGAGTTGGATGAGGGAGGAGAGAGAAATAAGTGAGACAAGAAAGGGAAGAGAGAGACAGCCAGGAGATTCTTTTAGCAGCTCGCAGTTTACATATTATTTGATATAAAAAAAAATTATCCCCCCAGAATATAAAGAAGCAGAATAATTAATAACAAGTAACAAACAGTTACAAAATAGAATACATAAAAACAATTAACAAAACAATAACGAAAAAATTGCATAAAGAGATACCCATAACAAATAGTGAATAACAATAACAAATATTACTAAAGTAAGACAATAGACAATAACCTTAGTAACGAAAAAAATTTAGCATAAAGCAGTATACCAAACAAATTAAGAATAACAATAACAAAGTATACGAAAAATAAACAATAAAACAATAACAATAATAACGGAAAAAAATTAGCCATTAAAGGTGTATACCCATAACAAATAATAATAACAATAACAAATATACAAAATAAACAATAAACAATAACAATAAATAACGAAAAAAAAATTAGCATAAAGAGTATACCCATAACAATAATAATAACAATAACAAATATACAAAATAAATACAAAAAATAACAATAATAACAAAAAATTAGCAAAAGATATAAACCATAACAAAATAAATAATAACAATAACAAAATACGAAAAAATAAAAAAAAATAACAGATTAATAACGAAAAAAATAGCATAAAGAGTATACCCATAACAAATAATAATAACAATAACAAACATACAAAATAAATACTAAAAAAAAACAAACGAAAAAAAAAAATTAATAAAATTATTGCCATAACCCCAAATCTTCCTTCCTCCCCCCCCCCCCCCTGTACCAGCTGGTGAACTACGGGAACAAACGACGAGCCATAAGCGTGGAGACGGTTCATAACGGGGAAACCACACGCTCCACGCTCCTGGTGGACAACGCCACCCGACGGGACTCCGGAAAATACTCCTGCAAGCCTTCTAACGCCGAGAAAGTGTCTAAACTGGTGCATGTCCTGAGGAGTAAGTGGCTGGTTCATTTTTTTTTTTTTTTTTTTTTTTTTTTTTTTTTTTTTTTTTTTTTTTTTTTTTTTTTTTCAGGAGGAAGTGCTGCGTTCAGTTGTTTTTCGAGAGATTTGTTAATTTATTTTTATTTCTATTATTTTTTTTTTTTTTTTATAGGAGTAAGTGGCTGGTTCATTTGTTGTTGTTTTTTCGAGAGTTGATTCATTTATTTTTTAAAGATTGGTTGTTTGTGGTTATATTGTTTCTTAAAAGGAAGCCAGTATAAGGAAGTGGGAGATAATGGTAAGTAAAGGAAATCGCATGTGTAGGATATATATATACATAGTATATATATAATATAGGATAGCATGTATATATGATATATATATATATATATAGATATATGCATATATATATATATATATAGATATATATTATATATATATATATATATATATATATATATATATATATATATATATATAATATATATAAAGTAATATATATATTAATATATATGTATATATATATAGATATATATATATGCATATATATAAAATATATATATATATATAGTAATATATATATATAATATATATATATATATATATAGTATATACATATATATAGATCTATACACGCACACACGCACGTGTGTGCTGTTGTGTGTGTGTGTGCTGTGTGTGTGTGTGTGTGTGTGTGTGTGTGTGTGTGTGTGTGTGTGTGTGTGTGTGTGTGTTGTGTGTGTGTGTGTGTGTGAGTGTGGAGTGTGTTGCTGTGTGTGTGTGTGTGTGTGTGTGTGTGTGTGTGTGTTTGTGTGTAAATATATNAGCAGACTGTTCACTGTCTTTCACTCGAATTAGTTTTATCTGTCTTCGGTATTCGCAGCAGACTGTTCACTCATTCTATTAAATAAAAGCACATCGTTCATGAGCGGTACAGTATAGCCTTCTCGAAGTTACTCAAGTGGTCGTTGTCATCATTATAAAATTCAGTATGAAGTTGATCCCGAGTATAGTTGTAAAGAGAGAGTTCGTGTGTAATTCAGCAGATTTGTAGCTTGGCAGTGAGAAAGTTCGCCCAAATGCAAAAAAAAAAAATTTTGGAAAGACTGACAAAATCGGCAACTTTTTGTGACCGGCATAGTTGGAGAACTACCTTGCAGTCGCCATCATGAGCTGTCCCTACTCGACTGTCCTCACCAGTGGCGCATCCAGGAATATCTATCGAAGGGGTTTATAAAAACGTTAAACCGTGGCCAAAAGAAAACCCAATGCAAATCATTAATATTTACGGTGCCTTTAAAATAGTATTTATTTACACAAAATCTTAAACTCTTTTAAGTATGATAAGATACAGTAGTTTGGGGCGGCAGAACGTGCCAGTGTGTACGCGAGTGGATAACGCTTCGAGACGATGAAATTGCGGCGCGAAACACTCGAATTGTTACACGATGGTTTCATGTTTTCGCCTTTAACATTATCTATCGATTACTCAATATAAAGCCGGATACACGGAAGAACCTGAGGTAGCCAATTCGTGCTATTCGGTACGCTGTGTGTAATTTGTAATTGGGGGAGACCCTGACCCGTACCCCCTCCTTGCTGACCCATCCCCCCTCCTCGCTGACCCTTCCCCCTCCCCCTCCTCTCTGACCCATCTCCCCTGACCCAACCCCTCCGGACCCCTCCACCCCTCCCCTCCTCTCTGACCCATCTCCCCTCCTCTCTGACGACGACCGACACGACCCTCCCCCTCCTCTCTGATCTCCCCTCCTCTCTGACCCTCTCCCTCCTCTCTGACCCCTCCCCCTCCTCTCTGACCCCTCCCTCGTGCTACCCGCAGACCGGTGCGAGGGGAGGGAGGGAGGGTTCTGGAACTTTGGACCTAGACCGTATGTGTAAAAATGTGTAAGTGTGCGTCCGTATGTGTACCTGCAGACCGAGTGCGGAAGATGAGTCAGAATGAAGGGTCTCGTGAGTCGGCTCAGTATTATGCATTTGATAGAATAAAAGCTAAAAGAGAATGAGAGGCCTGGAAGTCAAATACTATAGAAAAGTGGAAGAGCCATGTTGTCTAGTTCATTTGAATTACCGTGAGTTGTTACAAATCAATATCGTTGACGCCAGAAATGTCTGTCAACAAAACCGAAAATCACAGAACACGCATGACACAAATAATTCAAGATCATGAATTTCTAGCAAACAATTTGGTCTGTTCATTATGAAAATTGCATGAAACTACCAGAAAGTTTGTTTACTTATTTCTGGCACAGATTTCTTGTTTACCCGAAGTTGGCTGATTTCCTTGGGTAAAAAGAAATGGAGTCTATGCTGGGAAAAGCACAGATCTAACTTAATTTACTCTTGTAGTTTCTGATTACATAATTATTTGCATATTTATGCTTAGGTAGAAAGGGCAGATACTCGTTATCTTTATTGATATACAGGCTGATTATCTGGCAAGAGAATATACTGTGTGAGATCTGGAGAAGGGAAGTCGGCATGGAGTATGATTTTCGCACGGGGGGCAGTAATCCCTAGGTCAATTCTTGTCATAAACAATTGCAGAGTGCTACTGGCACAGTGTCCCTCTATCCTTCCTGGAAGTGTGAACCAGCAGTCTTGGTGTTCCAGGGAGCCGCTGTTGCCGCCGCCACCAGCACGCGTAGCCTGCGGAGGAAGCTCCCAGACTCCCCGGCCAAGATGGCTGCCCAGACTGCCTTGGCGCCTCCCCTAGACCAGACGCAGAAGGCGGAGGGGGACGCCGGCACAACGGACAGGCCGAGAGGATCGTCTGCCAGCCCTCCTCGCCTCAAGGAGGAAGCACACTGCTCCTCCGATGTCCAGTGCCCTGCTTGCACTGACGTCCTGCCCAACCTTAGCCTTGCGAAGGAACACTTCAAGAAGGTCCATTCTGACCTCAAGGCCGTAAGGTGTGCTGTGTGCAATGAGGACGTAAAGGGGAGGTTTATGGGCTACCTCAGCCACCTGAGGACCCGCCATAAAGACAGAAGCTTGGCAGAGGCGGCACAGGATGGCGAGGTAAGGGCAGCCCGGGGGCAGGCGGAGGATGGCGCTAAGAGCCGTGAGTGCAAAGTGTGCCACAAGAAAGTTCGGGCATCACTTTTCGCTCGGCACGTCGCCAAGCACAAACGCGTCCCGTGCCCGGAGTGCAAGACGCTCCTGGCCCCGCACTGCCTCAAGAGGCACATCAACGACTGCCACACCAAGAAGATCTCCTACCCGTGCCCCGAGTGCCCCGCCGTCTTCCACGACGCCTCTAATCTGCTCAGCCACCGCAAGAGGAATCACCTGGGGCAGGCGGCCCGAAGGCACCTGTGTGAAGTGTGCGGGAAGAAGTTCGTGATGCCGTCTGACCTGCGCACGCATGTCGCCGGCGTCCACCACAACGTGAGGAAATTTGTGTGCGAGTTTTGCGGCCTCAGGTTCAAGATCTCGTCGCAGCTCACCTACCACCGGCGGATGCACACGGGCGAGAAGCCGCACGTGTGCCAGGTGTGCGAGCAGTGCTTCGCTAAGCCCAACGTGCTGGCCAAGCACATGCGGCGGGTGCACCGGCAGGAGTACCAAGGGAAGTACAGGAAGAGGCTGCAGGCGTCCGAGGCCCAACCAGCGAAGAGCGAGAGCGCGGCGCGACACGCTCCTGCGCTGCCCAAAAAGGACGACCTGATGCTCGAGTTCGTTCACGTTGACCAGGTTGTGGAGCGGCTGGAGGACGTGGTGGCAGGCGGGCCCGTCCCCCCGGTGGCGCAAGGGGTGTCCCGGGTGGGCGACGGGGACGGCAGGATGGTGGTTGCTCCTATCTACTCCCTGACGGAGGACGGCGTAGAGCCGATGGCCGCCCCTCCCGCGGGTGTGCCCATTGCGGGAGCCTCCCGAACCATCCACGGCGTCGGGTACTTCCGCGCAGACGATCGGTCTTCGTCCCCGCGGGCGTCCTACGATCCCCTCACGTCCTCAGCCGCCGCCGCCCCCCCGCCCCTTCCACCACACCCACATCCGCGTCTTCCTCCGCCTCCATCCTATCCTCCTCCGGCGCTCAGCCGATCCACACGATTCCCTACTTCCGTCCCTCCGCAACCGAAGAGCAATACATCGTGGCCGAACTCCTCCCGACGCCCGATGCCTCCGGCGCGCGCCAGGAGCTCCGCCTCGACGCCCTCCACCGCGCCTACGCGGCGCCCGCGCAGCCAGGGAACCACCAGCACCATTAGGGGCGGTCGAGCAGGCAGACGTTCATTTCTCAATCGATCGATGGAGATAAAGAATTGATAACAGGGGGGAAAGAGCAAGCAGGTAGAAAGAGGCAGGTAGAGAGGAGGAGTAAAGGAGGAGGGGGGGGGGGGG